GCCCCCCCCCGGGGCGGGGCGGGCCTGGGCTACCCGGGCTGCGGTGCGCTCCGCGACAGTGTGGGTGCACCAGCGCGGAGGCGGAAAGGCGGTGTCGCCTCCCCTCCTCCACCTCAGGGGCAACGATAGGAGGGGAGAGGCTCAGGGGGAGAGGCAGCGACCCGCAATCGCCCACTCATCGCAGAGAGGGGCCCGATGGCCCACACCCCGCTCAGGACCGTGCGGATTCGCTCTCGCGGGTGCCTCTCCTCCCTCGGGGGCCACGATGGGGGAGATGGGCTCAGGGGGAGATGCAGCGACCCGCAAGCGCCCACTCCTCGCAGAGAGGGGCCCGATGGTCCACCCCGCTCTCGGGGGGCTATCGGCGATGTATCGCCGATTCCAGGTCGATGTTCCGCCCCCTGAGCGGGTCCCCACACCCCCTCATCGAGCTGGAGAACTTCGGAGGTGACTCGTGCGGCATGCCGCGAAGGAGGGGGACCACACCACCAGAAGGGCCTGGGCTGGCTCATCATCACGGTGGCGGTGTCCGTTTCGCTCTGCTTTTGCCTGCACTTCTGCGTGTGGGTGCTCGTCTGCGTGGGCATGGCGGCAGAAGTCTCCCGCGCAGGGTCGCGCAAACGGTGCCTTCTTCTCCACGCGGCGTGCCGCGTGAGCGGCCAGCGTGGGTCTCCGCGTAAGGTCGTAATGCTCCCGTGCGTATGAGCCCTTTCTTCTCATCGCTCACATGTGGGTGTGGCCCCCCCACAAAGGCATCTCGAGTAGGGGATCGACTGCGTATGTAATCGGTCATCGTCCTCGCACATCGTACTCCCTGTCTGTGCTTCGCTGCAGACCGCACCTGATGCGGGCCTTTCTTCTGACGGCCCCCCTCCTCGGCCTCCCCTCCTCCACCCCTCCTTATCTAACTATCCCTCCCCGCCACACCCTAGACGTGTCGGTCGGCAGGGCGGGGCGTTTTGATTGAGACCTCCTTGCAAACTACGGTCGCGAAACTTGAAGTGTCCTAGCAGTGAGACGGATAGATGGCCGCACACGGTCAAGATGTGGATATCGCTGTGGCGCCACACACACATTCGCCTTTTCACACCTACATGGATGGAGGGCAGTACCTTTTCAAACTGGGGCGGTCGACTGGGACTTTCTCAAAACGGTTGACCACAGGTGTAAGTTTGTGCACCAGGGTCACGAGTAGAGGGCAATTCCTCTTCAACATCGGGTCCCCGCATAGGGTTTTATAGATTTTTGTTTGCGACCGGAAGTATAAGGCTGCGCAACAGCGTCTTGGATGCAGGCTGGTTCCTCTTCAAGTCGGCGTTGTCGTCGGGTATTCTTGTGATCTTTCGTCGAGTGCTCCACAGGCCTGCGTTGCGGGCCTGTCGAGCAAGGGTGGGGGGCGCTTCGCGCAAGGAAACCTACTCTGCTCCTCCTCCTCGTGCCTGCCTCTCTCCCGCGCTCCCCCCTCCTCCTCCCGCCGCCTCCTCCCGCCCTCCCGGGTCCCGTTGCAATGGTCTCCAGAGGTATCGGGTGTACCCCTGGCGGCCTCCTGGACGGCTCAGATGCCTTCGAACGCATCCCGAATTGATGCAACACCTTTTCGTTTTCCATTGTGTTTCGTGTAACTATGTATTCACACAAATTTACACGCACACATCTCTCTCTATCTCTGTATATCTATAAATATGTTCAATGTGAATACATACAGAGATACAACATGTATGCAAATATGCATTCTCCCCTCCCGAGCTTCCTCATAACCGCCCCTTCATCCCCCGCCTCAACTCACTTCATATGCTTCATCATGAGCACTACTCTCCAGTTCCCCTGGCTCTGTCCAGCAGATCTTCGACCCTCTCCGCGCATTGCCCTCTTGCGCAGGATTTGAACCCTGTATCTGTCGTGCGGGTGTTTGCTACGATCCGATCGCTTTCGGTCCTCCAGGCGGTGTTCCCGCTGCAGCGTTCGCCTCATGTCCGCGCTCCTGGCCCCTCGAGATCGTGCTCCCGCTGCAGCGTGGGCCTCGTTCTGGAGTCGGCGCTCGGCTCCCCTCGTGGAGAATGGCGCTCTTGCCCCCAGCGCAGGCCCGTTTTCTGGACCCGAGCGCTTCCTCATCCTTGTCGCCACCCGCCCTGACCCCTCTCCCCGCCGCCCGCGGGTCCTCCTGCTCCTCCCGCCCCGTCCTCTCCAGCCCCTGCTGCTGCTGTTCGTCCTCCTCCCTTCCTTTTTCCCGATCACGCATCACACGGTGCGGTCGTTCTGGGAGGTCAGATCCGCCGTGACACGCGTCAGCGGGCAGTGGAAAAGCCAGCGCAGTGGAAAGGGACGGGCAGAAAGGGGCAGGATGTCAAGTGTGGCGCGAGTGCGCCTCGCTTGGCCCTCCCCCTTCTCTGCTCCCCCCCCTCGCCTCCCCCCCCTGCCCCCCACTCTCTGCTCACTCTCCCCCCTGTCTCCCCGCCCCCATCCCCCCTCCCTCACACTCTCTGCTCACTCTCCCCCCTCCCCCCCCTCTCCTCTCCCCCTCCCCCCTCCCACCCCCTGCTTCTCCCCTCCCCGCTTCTGCAGCCACGGAGACCCAAACTGCGATAGTCTTGTAAGTAGGGAGAGACATTGGGTCCGACAGTTCTTTGCTTTGCTCTGCTCCCCCGCCCCGTCGACAACTCGTCGTCGTCGGCGTCGGCGTCGGCGTGGTCGTCGTTGTCGACGACGCTTTATGAGCATCTCTCGGCACCCACGGTTAACCGTAAGTATTAGAGGCGGTAGAGCACAGTCGCAAGTGCGCAACTGCATCCGATGGAACGCACAGACGCACAGTGCACAGTGAAGGATCCAACGTACAAATCCGACGTACAAGACACGCTCACGGGCTCACGTGCACTTACCCTGAGATTCGACGTTGCAAATGGATTTCAACATCAAAACACGACCCGAGCCCCAGACCCAATCTTTCTGCGTCATTTTTCGAGCCCGATCGATATGTGAGCTGGTCAGGGGCACCGTAACGGGTACTCACTAACGGATAGGGCCTCTTTATGGCATTGCAGCGTTGCCCACATCGGGAAGGGTTGGGTTCGCCTGGTCACTGGCCAAAGTGCCCGTTGGTGGAGTCCCCGTGAGCGCTGACCTGGGGCCCGAAACCGGGCGGAAGAGCCCGGCTCGAAAACATTGCAACGCCAGGATCTCAGGGTACAGCTTCCTGCCCTCGGCCCCAGAAGCCGTCCCGCGCGCAGGCCGCGGTCGACGCCGGCCGCCTCCCCGCCGCGCCGGTTGTCGGCGCCGACGACGACGGCCGCGCCCGGGTGTACGTGTCGGCGCGGAGGGCGGACGCGTGCGGGGCGTGCTTGTTGCTGGAGGACGCGGAGCACCTTTTGTTGCAGAAGCTCGGAGGGCGAGAAGAGCACGTTGTATCTTCGGGGAGCCTCGTCTGTAAACAAAATACGGGGCCCAGAGGGATACACCACCAGCACCTCCCTCACCTCCTCCCTCTCCCAGGAGAGGAGGGGAAGAGGAAGCTAGAGGAGGGAAGGGGATATGAGGTGGTGGTGGTGTAAATTCTTGGGGTCCGCACAGACTTGGTGTTTTTTCTTGTGCCCGACACGGGCTTGATGTGGACTCGATGTGGATTGAAGACGGATTCGGAACGGATTCGGCATGGATTCGAGACGGATTCGACGAGCGGAGATTTTTGTCGAGGTCTTCGCCCGCTCCCCAGGGTGCCCCCCAGGGTGCCGGTTGCAAGCCACGCCCTTTGCAAACCAAATTTTACGGTGTCGCCAAATCGATATACCGCTGCTCGTCCTTGAGAGTTCTCGTCGCCATGGCTGGATGATCCTCGGAATTCTGGATTATCCTCGGAGGTCTGGGTAGTAGTGGTATCGATACCTTTTTGTTTCCCCAGTGCCTTCCCCGGGCGTCTATCGGGACATTATTATGAGCCTTTCTGCGCACGCATGTGGTTTGGCTGCGCAGCACCTTTGCAGGTGAACAGAGTGGTCAGTCTTGGAAGTCTCTGAAGGAGCAGGAGGAGCAGAAGGAGGGGGAGGGGCAGGAGGAGGGGGGGTTGCAGCAGCAGCTGGGGAGGAGAGCTGGGCGAACAGGAAGTTCGCGGAGGAGGAAGGGGGACGGGTCTCGAGGATGGGAGGAGGATGAGGAAGGGGGCGAGGGGCAGGAGGAGGGGGAGGCGGGGGGGGTATGGGGGGGGAGGAGGAGGAGGAGGAGGAGGAGGAGGAGGAGGAGGAGGAGGAGGAGGAGGAGGAGGAGGAGGAGGAGGAGGCGGGGGGGAGGAGGAGGAGGAGGAGGGGAGGAGGCGGGGAGGAGGAGGAGGAGGAGGGGCAGGAGGAGGAGGGGAGGAGGAGGAGGAGGAGGATGAGGAGAAGGAGGAGGAGGAGGAGGAGGAGGAGGAGGAGGAGGAGGAGAGGAGGAGGAGGAGGAGGAGGAGGAGGAGGAGAAGGAGGAGAAGGAGGAGGAGGAGGAGAGGGAGAGGGAGGAGGAGGAGGAGGAGGAGGAGGAGGAGGAGGAGGAGGAGGAGGAGGAGGAGGAGGAGGAGGAGGAGGAGGAGGAGGAGGAGGAGGAGGAGGAGGAGGAGGAGGAGGAGGAGGAGGAGGAGGGAGGAGGAGAGGGAGAGGGAGAGGGAGGGAGAGGGAGAGGGAGAGGGAGAGGAGAGGGAGAGGAGGAGGAGGAGAGGAGGAGGAGGAGGAGGAGGAGGAGGAGGAGGAGGAGGAGGAGGGGAGGAGGAGGAGAGGGGGAGAATTCAGAAAGAGGAGGAGGAGGGGGAGTAGGAGGAGGAGGAGGAGGAGGAGGAGGAGAAGGAGGAGGAGGAGGAGGAGGAGGAGGAGGAGGAGGAGGAGGAGGAGAGGAGGAGGAGGAGGAGGAGAGGAGGAGGGAGGAGGAGGAAGAGGAGGAGGAGGTGGAGGAGGAGAAGAGGGCGGAAGAGGAGGAGGAGGAGGAGCAGGAGGAGGAGTAGGAGGATAAGGAGAGGGAGGAGGCCGAGAAGGAGGAGGAGG